TGCAAGCATGGCATAAAATTAACAGACGCTTAAAATACAGGATTAAAATACTGTACAGGTACAGCAAGCTCACTGTTCAGAAGAAAAATATAAATATTGGGGTTGGGGTTTATATGAATGTATTTCTGAAGGGAACGGACTTCACAAAAGTTTCGATGGCATTTTTTCCTCTCTTATCATTGCTGATCCAGAACCACCACCTGCTGTCAGAGAGTGAATTTGCGTTCTCATTCAGCCTGTCTGTTTTTGTTTCATGCAGGTTTTATCTTTGTATCTTTGTTTGTATCGTGATTAAAATGCAGTGGTTGGTTCTAATTTCAAATGGCTTTTTTTTATTAAATATGTTTATTTGTTGTAGTAGTAGCAACTGCCCGTTTTTTGCAAAAACAGTTTAATGGCAAGGAAAATATTTATGGCCGGTCAATTTTCTCAAGTCATTAGCCACTGGCAGATGTGAAAGTTAGTTTTAGGTCCTGCTTGCAAGTGTAGAAATGAGATTTTTTTTTCATTTATTTCACAGTGCAATTGTTTTACAATATATGGCTATAACTGTCATAGGAATAATAATATAAAATTATTGTTTTATTCTAATTTGTTTGGCTTCCAAATTCATACGGCATTGGTTCTGGCCTTTGTTTACACAGGGACTGATCCCGGCAATGTTACTAGGTCCCCATATACATGTTTGCATTCACACAGAAGGCACTCCGGCAATTTTCCGGGACCAACATGCAGTGTGAAAGGGTTTTTAGTTGCAAAGTTATGTATAGGTAGTTAAATGTGTAAAGTGGACTATCATAATAAAGCATTACCAAATATTTTATTAAATACAAAAACTCTTGTGGTCCTGTGTTGAAAAAATAATATGACGTTTCTGTCAACTAGCCTATTTGGCCTCCATAGCTAAAGCTAAGCAAAACATACAAAAAGGACATGCATTGATGTAATATATGACAAATCATGACATTACACTGACATTACAAACAATGTACCAATGTTAGGGCTGTGCAAATAATCAAATGCGATTTTCATGCGCATCTCGTCAGTAAAGCCGGTTCTGTGGTTAGCAGTAAATCTCCAGCACGTGCTTTCAGATGGAGCGGCATCGCAGGCGATTCATTGCAGATTATGAACCCAATATTCATCCCTCTTATTCTGTGAAAATTATTAACATTTTCCATATTCTTCAAGGGGTATGTAAACTTATGAGCACAACTCTATATACATATATTAAACTTTGGAGAAATCATTAAAAAAACTGGAATGTGTTTGAGGTGAAATGTGTAGTTTTGAGAAATGTGTATTTGTTTTGAGAACTGAATAAAAGGCTTGGGAAATTGTACCTACTGAATCAGTTATTGTGTGTTAGCAATATGACAGTTTGTACCGTGGAGTATTTATGCATTCCAGTATAATATATGACCTACTATATTATAATTTCTACTAAAACATTACATGGTTGAAGTATTTACTCATGGGCCATTGCTTACATTATGACTTAATCTTTAACTCTTTCCCTGCCAGCATTTTTGAAAAAAGTTGCCAGAAACCGCTAGCGATTTTGATTTTCACTAAAATTTGATGACATCCAGTATATTTTGCTGTATGAATATTTGAATATGCAATACACCAAAATAAAGATCAGAGCCTCTACTTAAAAAAAAAAATCTGTTTTATTCTAGCTTAAAGCATTCTTGTTTTATCAACACTTGAATATAGGCAGGTTTCATAAAAAATTCATAATTTTGACCAAAAAGGTGAGAAAATCAAATTTTTATCAAAAACTACATCTGAATAATATTCAGTACGATTATCAAAGCCTAAATCCAGTAAATCGCTTCCATAAACACCTTCAAAGCTTGTAGTAACAATTAGGCTACTTTTCCACTGTTGCCGTGGGATGTTTTTTTAACTTCGTGGGTCGACGCGACCCCACTAACGCAGATTTTGTTGTGTAAACCTGCAAACCCTGTTCGTATTGTTCTTTTGCGCATGCGGGTCAGTTCAGAACCACGATCTGTTCACACTGTAAAACTGATATTGGCCACATTTAAAACAACAATGTGAACAGCTACACAAAAAAATCAGATCTGAGAAAAAAAATCTGAATTGAGCACTATGGCTCGCAGTGTGAACGTAGCCTAAGTGCATCTGTTTAATTAAATGGTTATTTCACCCCAAAATAAAATTGTGTCATTAATTACTCACCCTCATGTCGTTCCAAACCTGTAAGACCTCCGTTCATCTTCGGAACACAAATTAAGATATTTTTGATGGAATCTGAGAGCTCTCTGACCCTCCATAGACAGCAACGCAACTGAAATGTTCCCAGACAGAAACGCAACAAGGACATCAGTAAAACAGTCCATGTGACATCAGTGGCTCAACTTCCAATTTTGCACAAAGAAAACAAAAATGACGACTTTATTCAACAATTCTTCTCCCCCGAGTTACTGTCTTCCACCATTTTGGAGAGTATCACAACCCATACACACACTTTACCCTAAGTGTAAACAACGCGGATTACGCCAATTACATTCATGCGTGTGATTTCCCCTCCTAACGTAATCAACGCTGATTATGTTCTTGGGTACTCTCCAAAATGGCAGAAGACGTAACTCGAGGGAAAATAATTATTAAATAAATTATGTAATTTTTGTTTTCTTTGCGCATAAAAAGTATTCTAGTAGCTTCGCAAACTTGAAGTTGAGCCACTGATGTCACATGGACTGTTTTATTGATGTCCTTGCTACGTTTCTGTCTGGGAACATTTCAGTTGCTGTCTATGGAGGGTCAGAGAGCTCTCAGATTCCATCAAAAATATCTTAATTTGTGTTCCGAAGATGAACGGAGGTCTTACAGGTTTTGAACGACATGAGGGTGAGTAATTAATGACAGAATTTTCATTTTTGGGTGAACTAACCCTTCAATTTAGGATGGTCTTCGAGAACTACAAATTGTCACTAACAATTTGTGAAATCTGAATCATTTAATTCATTCAGTGAACAAAAATATTTAACATGTACATTTATTGTAATGGTAGAGGAGAATGGGTTCCCCCTGCTAAATCTTTTTAACTATTCACTTGAAGGAGGGTAGAGAACCATATTTAGAGACCAGAACAGGGCTCGCAAAATCGCTAGCCCGATGTCCCGGGGCTATTGTGTTTTCCAGTCGGGCTACCAAAATGTATCACCACTCTGCCTGACGGGCTATTTTAAATGCAGATCTCCGGCGGGTCCTTACAAACTCCTAAAGTGAGTTGTATCAAACTTAAGGCCATAAAAAGCTTTAAATACGTTAAATGGTATAAGAAATGTCTTAATTATAATTACAAGAGGTCTTACAGTTGGGGACGGAAAGACAAGAGTCTTGATATGGCTGGATTAAACTTCAAAAGGCAATGATGTCATTGAATAAATATAAGCGCTGCACATTTTAAGTCAAAATGCATGGAGCTGCGTTGTGTACAGCCATTACCGGGGAAACCACAATATTTCATCGCTCCTAAAGCACCACCTCGTGGCAGAGAATGAATTTGCATTTCCAGTAAGTCTTTCTTGCTGTTTATGGTCAGATCAATGCAAATATCAACTCATGTTTTTACGCAGCAAACACAGAGTTGTAAATAAGAAAGAAGTTAATGTGCCTTCTAAAAATCTAAACAATTAAGACAGTAATAGTATATTTATAAGTTTTAAATTAATTTATATGCTTGATTTATCCCTTTTCATAAAAATGGTCTAAAGGCTGAAATGCTGTTGTATAGGATTTTTGTTTTTGTGAAAACCTGTGTCTGAACTGTAAATCATGTACTTTTATGGCTCAATACTGTATGTTACCATAGACATTGTCCAACCCCACTCATACTGTTAATTTTACTTGTGCAGCTCTTAAAATTGGTCATAAATTGCCTTACATTCATTTTTACAAATTCTGCAGATACCCTGTAAATAGTGAAATAAAATTCCTTCCTTTATATTTGTTAATATTTGTGTATTGAAAATATTTTTGGAAAAAAAAGAAGAAAAAAAAAGGTTTATTTAAAAAAAAAAAATAACTTTTTTAATTTGGGCTACCAAAATTTGAAGAGTACCTGCCCAAAGGGCTACCAGGGATTTTAAAATTTTGCATCTAATAATCACTCTTGCAACTGCATAACAATGCCAAACCACACAGAACACTCTAGCAACCACATAGCAGTATTCCAATAAGCGTACTTGGAACACCTTATTAAGCACATACTGGTATCACTGGGTAATCATTGGTACAACCCTCCCTTCTCTCCAAGAACTGAACTTATCCAGAGTGAGCAAAAGGGCTGGCAAAATCACTCTGGGCCCCTCACATCCAGCACACTCCCTCTTTGAACTGTTGCCATTTGGTCGACGCTACAGAGCTCTGAGCACCAGAACGACCAGACACAGGAACAGTTTCTTCCCTCAGGCCATCCATCTCATGAACACTTGACAATAACTGTGGAACACACACTATTTATTCAGTCATACACTTAATTATCTAACACACACACTCAGTCTACATTTCAATTTGCACATAATATACCTGTACATACAACTGTCTATCCCCCTCCCAGACAAATCAAAACAGCAATAAATAAATAAAATACTATAGAGGAAAATAAAAAAGTCTTCAGGATTCATAAGATTTTTTTACGCTAACCATTCCGGTTTCAGAAATATGAACCAAAATGACCTTTTTTTTAATAGTGCCACCTAGTGTCAGATGGATATGTTGTGTGCATGAGCCTGAATAATCGGGGTGGGAGACTCCTAACTTGGTGGACTGCACATTCTACTAAGTTATGTGTCTCTACGACTGTGGTACTGACACTTTTAGGGATCAGAAAAATAAAAGAAAAAAAAATCAGAAAATCTAAACCAATACAACAGGGTTTCAGGATCAATCTGTGTAATGCTGAAAATGAATTGAAATGCATTCTCAATTAAAATGGTGCACAACACTGCTGGACTGACACTTACCGAGACACAAGGAGGCAGCGTTGTAGCAAGTTCAGATTTGGATCTTGGAGAACACTTTTGATGTCACTAAGTGGGAAGAGAATAATGAATGCTCAGGGAAATGATGATGATGATAACAATAATAATAATAAAACACATTAACAAAAATCAATTAAAACATCACATGAGACAGGGCAACATGCTCTTTAAAAAGCTCTTAAAACAATGTGAGCTATTTGAGGATAATTTTGTCCCTGCTTTTATATATAAGTACTTCTTTGGAAATAAATTTCCCTGAATAACCATATTTGGATTACAGAATAATTGTAGAAACAGTGCTGTGCTCTATTCTGGGAGTATACATACTTCGAAAGAGAGTTGAGCTGTTCCTGGATCAGTCCCTTGATTTCATTTTTTTCTTCGTAGTCTCTAAGGATGAAAGCACAGAATACAAGTAATCAGTTCATCTTTTGTCTGTTCAATTGTACAATTTTAAGGCTAGTTCACACGGTAGGTAATAGGCATTTTGTTTGACTACCTTCTGTAATTGTGATAGAGATAGATCAAAATAGAATACACTAAACAGTCAAAACAAGGATTGCCACACCGTTTGATTGACCAATGAATTTCCATGACTTTTCTAAGACCTTTCCAAGCATTTATGATCTTTCAAATCATTTAATAAATATTGATGAGGGAGATTTTTATTTGTATGTCAGGCCCTTGTTTCAATTTATAGAATTAAACAATTATACTTATCAGTGTGTAAATATATTGCTGGAAAAGAGCAATATTTAGGTGCAAAAATAAAGGACAAAGATTTAATATAATTCCATGACTTTTCCAGATCTGGAAATAAGAATTTAGGACTTCCCCCTGGGGAATCTGCAAATCTATTCACACTGTCCCGCAATTAATTTTATCTAAATGGCACAATAATAATAATAATAATAAACAAGGAAGAACCTAATCTCAGAATACAAAATTAAGGCATAAATCCCTGAGAAGGGATTTTTAGAGATGCACATTTCCATTTGAAACACATGATATGCAGGTTTTTTAACTTTGATTGAATAGGCCTCCATGCATGCATTATGAAATCACAAAAGAAAACAATGTTTCTTTTTCTTAAAAACAAGACTACAATAATTTTCAATCTCTTATGTCACGGTGTATTTTAAAAGAGTTACACATTTGTCAACTGCAAAACAGATGTGATGAAACAACCTCTAACCACTTACTGAAATAACTGGCTTGTGAGCAAGTTTTACTCTACACAAGTAATCAAAAGGAGCAATATTGACAACATTTAGTAGATTAAATATTGTAAATTCTCAATATTTCCAGATTTTCAACAATCATGAGAACGCTGTAGGAAACGATCAATCCTGTGCACTCACTGAGTGCTCTCTTCTCCCAATCATTACTAGACATGCCCCTTACTGCTGATTGGCTGCGAGTGTGTTTTGGGACTCGGTCCGACACTGTGGTCAAAAGTGTTTTTCAAAAATAGCTTAGTGCACCCTAGACTATAACAATTTTCAATCTCTTATGTCACGGTGTATTTTGAAAGAGTTACACATTTGTCAACGGCAAAACAGATGTGATGAAACAACCTCTAACCACTTACTGAAATAACTGGCTTGTGAGCAAGTTTTACTCTACACAAGTAATCAAAAGGAGCAATATTGACAACATTTAGTAGATTAAATATTGTAAATTCTCAATATTTCCAGATTTTCAACAATCATGAGAACGCTGTAGGAAACTATCAATCCTGTGCACTCACTGAGTGCTCTCTTCTCCCAATCATTACTAGACATGCCCCTTACTGCTGATTGGCTGTGAGTGTGTTTTGGGACTCGGTCCGACACTGTGGTCAAAAGTGTTTTTCAAAAATAGCTTAGTGCACCCTAGACTATAACAATTTTCAATCTCTTATGTCACGGTGTATTTTGAAAGAGTTACACATTTGTCAACGGCAAAACAGATGTGATGAAACAACCTCTAACCACTTACAGAAATAACTGGCTTGTGAGCAAGTTTTACTCTACACAAGTAATCAAAAGGAACAATTTTTACAACATTTAGTAGATGAAATATCGATAGACTTTCAACAATCATGAGAACTCTACAGGAAACTCCATTTGGCGATACGATATGAATTAATGATAAATAAATATTTAAAACTGAAAAACGCCAAATTGACTCATATGAAGCAATGTGTTGCAGGGAACAGCAGAATAATACTAGGTCAATCAATATGCTATTCTGCTATTGCAGGTAACATTTAACATAGTAATGATAAATGTGAATATTGACAATCAGTGGTGGTTCTAGATCACAGTAAATGGGGGGTTAGGGTGCTTGTGCTTTTAGGGGGCACACTTTAACATATATTGCAGTGCGTAGCTTTTTATTTCTAAACAACCATGTTGGAAGATGTTCCCATGTACATACAGGTGCATCTGAATAAATTAGAATGTTGTGGAAAAGTTAATTTCAGTAATTCAACTCAAATTGTGAAACTTGTGTATTAAAGGGGTCATATGATGCTTTTTTAAAGATCATTATTTGGTGTATTTGGTGTAACAGAATATGTTGACATGCTTTAATGTTCAAAAAACACATTATTTTTCAAATACTGTACATTATTGTAAGTCCTCTATGCCCCGCCTCTCTCAAACGCTTCGTTTTCTACAAAGTCCCTCCTTCCGACAAGCGCAGTCTGCTCTGATTGGCCAGCTGACCCAGTGCATTGTGATGGGCCAAATACAGCAAACACTCGTCGGAAATGTAACGCCCCTTACTCCCTCTCTCTTGCACGCTCTCGCTCTCTCTCTCTCTGAGTTTAATTACTGAAATAAATGAACTTTTCCATGATATTCTAATTTATTGAGATGCACCTGTATTTCATGATGACAATACCAAGATTTACCAGGCTCAATTTTTGAAAGATTGGCCACCACAGAGTCCTGACCTTACACCTATTGAAGTCTTTGGGATGTGCTGGATGGAGTCTTTACACTGCCTGTTCAAAAAAAAAAAAAAAAAAAAAAAAGGTTGCACTCTCTAATATTTTGTTGGATCACATTTAGCCTTGATTAAATTGTGCATTCGTTGTGGCATTGTTTTAACAAGGTCATGAAACATCAAAGCATTTATTTCCATCAAGAGCTGCATTAGTTTTTGGCCGAGATCTTGCACTGAAAATGGGAGAGTCAAACCACTCTGTAAAGTTGACTCAAGCACATTCTAAAGACTTTCAATAGGGTTAAGCTCAGGACTCTGTGGTGGCCAATTCATACAAGAAAATTATACCTTATGCTCACTGAACCACTATTTCAGAAATTGAGCCTGGTGAATCTTGGTATTGTCATCCTGGAATACAGACATGGGTACATCTTCCAACATGCTTGTTTGAGAAGAAAAAAATCTACGCACTGCATCAAGCATTAAGGTTAAACGAATTGTAGCAAAGCATATAGCGTAAGAAACATGTTAATCACTGCAATAATGATCAGGCTCAAAAAAGTGGGGCAAATTTTATGATTTTGTCCTTTTCAAACATGACAGACCACATAAGACAGAAAACCATAAGCTGAACTCGCATTCTGTTTGAGTAGGTACTACATTTGAATTTGAACTTAAAGGTGCACTAAGCTATTTTTGAAAAACACTTTTGACCACATTGTCGGACCGAGTCCCAAAACACACTCGTAGCCAATCAGCAGTAAGGGGCGTGTCTAGTAATGATGGGGAGAAGAGAGCACCCAGTGAGTGCACAGGATTGATATTAGAAGATAGATTATAGATAGCGAGAGATGGCAGATAAAAAAAAAAAAAAAGTGGAACATTTTCGGAGGAACAAAACATTAAAAAGAAGAGTTACGATCAGGCAAGAGGTAGGAGGTAGGTAAATATCGGAGCAGCTTTTCAGTGGTGGAGAGAACTCAAGGAGAGAGTGGGAAGGCCTGGAATTAGACACCAAGGTTACTTTGTTTCTTCTTGATAGGTGAGTTACGTTGATTTTGCTTTTTCACACAACTTTCCTGTGTTGGCTTTTGCTTGAATATGCTGTGGCCGGCAGGCATAGCAGACTCCGCCATCGTCGCTGTCAGGGTTGTGTATGTACGTGTGGGGCAGAATTATCAAAATAGGGGCGAGGCCCTGTTGGGGTATGGGCGTGTTTGTTTTGGTGCTTTCAAATATAACATCGTTTGGCAAAAATCACTTAATGCACCTTTAATTTGCAGACGTTAAAAAAAGCATGTTCTATATAATTTGAATACATATGAAAGTATGAATGAAATTCAGATGTACTACAGTATGTCTGCCATTTTGTTACTATCACGTGACTTACTAGCCTAAGTTGCATCGCTTCACTGCTTCTTTTATAAATCCTCTCCTGTGTCTATCAACTGCGCCTATCAAGTGTCTATCAACTGCGCATTTAAAAGACTGGGCGGAAGTAGTAGATCATCTGGGTACTTTTCCTACTGTTTTTCAAAAACTATGAATTCGTACATACTACTCTTTTTGCATACTGTTTTTCACATACTATATAGCAGGGAAGTATTTGATTTTGGATGCAGCGGCCGTCTCGGCTTGCGGTGTCTTTTTGAGCAATTTTTTCTTGGCATAAAAGTTATGGTACAATAAATTACAATGTCAAATTTAGGGGGGTCAGAGGTGGGGCCAAGATTGTTGACACGGGGGCATTGGCAATCTCCATCACCGCCGTCATGTTTATGTGTATAAAACTAGGGATGCAAAAAAAGGAAAGAGTGTTTGCTCATTCCTGTCACTGCTATGCACACTTAATTACTGTCTGCTTGCTCAGCATGCACATAGGTGTCAACCAAGGAGCTCAATGACAATATTTACTGTTTACTAAACTAATTAAGTCATCAATTTCTTTCTAATCTTGGGTATATCTTACCCAATACACTAGGGATGTGCATCTCATGACTCAGGCCGATACGATACGCATCTCGATGCATAGCCAACGATACGATACATTAAAGATACATATGAAGCAGTTACCGATGCGATGCGATACGATTCACCCGTTACGATGCAGTGTGATCCAATTTCGATTCGATTCGATTCAACACAATGCGATTCGATGCAATATGCAATGGAGAAAATATGATCACTTTTAATGCCTCGAGGCCTGTTTCATAAAACAAGTTAGCCAAATAAGCCAGGATTATTTCAGTTAGTCTGAATCATTGTCGAATGATTAGTCACTGTGGCAACTTATGCTGGGAAACTAACCTGGTCTACAGCAGGCTAACTGTCAGACTAAGTTAAGCTCCTCTACTGACCAATAGGAACACAATGATATTACCACTGACTTATGCTGGGAAACTAACCTGGTCTACAGCAGGCTAACTGTCAGACTAAGTTAAGCTCCTCTACTGACCAATAGCAACACAATGATATTACCACTGTCTTCACATACTATTATTTGACTTTTTTTTTTTTTTTAACAGTTTCTAGCCATGAGAATAAGAATAATTAAGAACAAGCGTGCACAAATTAGTGAGGTTGTGGGAATTTAATTTGTCATTAATAGAACCGCTTTAGCCCCGATTTATTTGTTAGGTTATTTCAAGTCAGGTTTTGAACTTTAATCACAGTTTTTCCTCAGGTCTCCGTGGTTTTGTGAAATGCGTCATATTCACGCAGCAGCAGCAGTGATGAGAGAGTGCGCTTGAGAAACAGTTTAGAGAGGAGAAATCAATCTGCATATAAAATATTGGTCACAGATTATTGGTCACTTTCTAAATAATAAAAGTATACTGCATCCACTAGTAATTATATACAAATAAATAATTTTTTACCAATGTAACTATGTTAGAAACGATACATCGCGATATAAATGACAACTTGTAGCACACTTTTTAAACCGATGCATCGCATCGTTAACTTTCGATCGAATCGGGGCATCTTCCCATCCCTACAATACACTGTTATACTTAAATAAAAAAAAAAAAAAAAAAAAAAAAAAAAAAAAAAAAAAATTGTAGCACACTTTTTAAACCGATGCATCGCATCGTTAACTTTCGATCGAATCGGGGCATCTTCCCATCCCTACAATACACTGTTATACTTAAAAAAAAAAAAAAAAAAAAAAAAAAAAAAAAAAAAATCTAAATAATATATACAGTGAGAGTAAATAATATATTTTGATCTTATAATTCTTTGGTGATCAGTTATTGCATCCTGTATTTGATGTTATGTAACCATCAACCCCACTGTACTGTACTTGAACATTGATGAAATCATTGAGTACCAAAAAGAAAGTACAGGTACCCGTAATATGTCTGTGCAAATGTACTGGTGTCTTCTTTTATGGAGATTTTTGTTTTTTAACCTGGCTTTTTGTTTTTTTAAACATATCTTTTCATTTCAAGACATAAGGAATATAAAGCCTTAGTGCCTAAAGGTCAGATTTTGTCAATAGCACCAGCAAAGACAGCTATCACAACAGACTGGAGTAAAATGTGCTGTGAATGACTTTTGAATGGATACAGATGTGAAAAAATAATGAAGCTGTCACATACACATGAGTAATGTCCATGGTGAATGTATTGGACCATGGCTGCAGTATCAGGAAGGCCTTCAGTGTAAGAGCAGCACGTGGCAATAGGAGATAGGGACACCATACTGAATCTGGAACAGAGACATACATACACCATAAAAGTCTATTGTACACCAATAGGAAGAAAAATAAAATAATATGTCAAAGCATACTGTATGCACATACACACACAAGGATGAATGCAGCCCTCAACACATTTATCAGATATCCAAATGGGGACTTTCCATTAACTTCTACTGTACTCAATTTAAACTGGGGATACATCTGTCAAAATGAAAATGCTGGGCAAAAAAAAATAAAAATCATTATTTGGCTTTCTCTTTGAAACACTCTCACGACACAATATCTCATTAACTGTGGACAACCTCTTTTTCCATCAATATATTACTCATCACCATTTACATTTAGAATGAGATCTGATTAAACCTTTTCATGTGCACACTGCTTGGATGCTAAATGGTTTCTGGTCACTTGTTTCTGCATTTTAAACCAAAACCAAAAAGTTCCATTCTTAATTTAAACAAATTATAACTGTTGTACACAAACCCTAGAACAGAACATTTGGCATTATTGGGGGTGTTTACACAACACAGTCTTTAAACTAAAAACTCTGTAACCTGACAGTTTTTAAAAACTCACCTGTCAGGTCCTGCTCATCCATTCTATAACTGGCAGACTTCATGGCCATCTCCAGCACTCTCACGCAGCCATCATCTGATGCCAGCACCACTTTATCTGATGTACACCAGTCAATATCCAGAATCCTATAATTCACATTCCGCCCCACTCTGATGCTGCTCACCATCTGCACCTGTAGAAGTATGTGACAGTATAATCTTTAAAGAAATATTTAAAGGGTGTTTCCTCCACCTGTGGCCCAAGATGCTGGGATAGGCTCCAGCATCCCCAAAATGATGTTAAATTTGAGGTGAGGCACTTATACTTAGGATTAGACATATGGCGGTATTTGGTAATAATAAAATATTTGCATAATTCTTTCAATTTCTCTAAATGCACAGTAGCTTTATTTCCATCACTCAAGATTCATAACTAGGATGGTGATTTCTATAACACCAAAAAGGAGGACACTTTGCAGGATTCAGTGAAGTCAGGACAATAACTGAAAAATAAAATCCTTAACTAGTGACAGTAATGAACTTTTCCATTAAAAGGCGATATTTACAGACTCAGTCACTCACTCAAAACTGTTCAGGGATAACCGTTTATCTCCTGGTAAAATTTGCGTTCCAGGGACTAAATATTACAGAAATGTCACCCTGGACCACAAAACCAGTCTTAAACTGCACGGGTATATTTGTAGCAATAGCCAAAAATACACTATATGGGTCAAAATGATCGATTTTTCTTTTATGCCAAAAATCATTAGGATATTAAGTAAAGATCATGTTCCATGAAGATATTTTGTACATTTCCTACCATAAATATATCAAAACGTCATTTTTGATTAGTAATATGCATTACTAAGAAGTTTAAGGCAATTTTCTCAGTATGTAGATTTTTTGCACCCTCAGATTCCAGATTTTCAAATAGTTGTATCTCAGCCAAATATTGTCCTATCCTAACAAACCATACATAAATGGAAATGGAAAGCTTCAGCGTTCAGATGATGTATAAATCTCAATTTCGAAAAATTTACACTTAAGACTTAAGGTTTTGTGGTCGCTTCAACCCATGGACATGAAAAAAACAACAACAAAAAAACACGCGCAGCAACTTAAATTAGTCCAATTCCATGGGAAAACCGCAGACTTGGCAAAACTGCAGTACGTCATAAATAGAACAAGGGCTCTGTTTATGGTTGGGGATTTGTCGTGTAGCGTCACGCCGCATCCAGTATAGACAGCATCACGTCTACATCTGGTGTAGACACGGTGTCAGACTAATGTCACTGTCTGATGCTGCGTTTGAATTTTCATGCCACACTATTTTAAATTAGTGCGAGCCAAACATTATTGGGGTCGCTTCAACCCATGGACATGAAAAAAACAACAACAAAAAAACACGCGCAGCAACTTAAATTAGTCCAATTCCATGGGAAAACCGCAGACTTGGCAAAACTGCAGTACGTCATAAATAGAACAAGGGCTCTGTTTACGGTTGGGGATTTGTCGTGTAGCGTCACGCCGCATCCAGTATAGACAGCATCACGTCTACATCTGGTGTAGACACGGTGTCAGACTAATGTCACTGTCTGATGCTGCGTTTGAATTTTCATGCCACACTATTTTAAATTAGTGCGAGCCAAACATTTTTCTCTCATGGGCCGTCTATTGAGGAACCCGGACATAGACTGTTTAACGCAGCTTAGAGATACCACAAATGCATTTACACTGCAGTTATAGCTGCATAAATGATGTTATGATATTTATGTGAGGTGAACAGCACATTCCAGGGCCCAGTTTACAACGGGGCCCCTCTCTGACCACCATAGTCCACAAAGGTTTGCTACATTTTGACGGTCCAACAACAAACTGTCCAAAGCCATCAGAATAAGATGCTAGGACAAAGGCCAGAAACCTCTTAGAAGGCAAGACGGATATCTCTGGTACCAAGCCCAGGAAGGACAGGACTTCTCATTGGTCAAAATGCCATTCCTGCCCTTCACCCATCTAGAGACTAATTCCTAAGGTTTAGGTTGCACCGACTAGCCAATTAGCTTGACATTGACTAGTCACTGATCCTATAGAGGGCACAACAGGATAAGAAATCTTTGAAGTCCACATTTACGCTCTGTTCTCAAACAGTTAACATAACAAATAAATGCATACTCCGAAAGCTCTCCACAAGACGTGTGATTATAACACCTGGGTGCTCGAAACTGAATGGGAGAATGCATGTATTAAACCGCTTATTGTACAGATGAATGAATCGCCGTTCTAATCTACTGTGCTGCTGCACTGTAATGCACACACACAGGCTACAGACAGATGTTCATTCAGTAACACTGTTCTATGATTAAGAAACTGAAAAGCTCTAGCATATATTTCTTAGTAACTAAAACCCACAGCTTCACTATTAGTAGAGGGATGCTCTCTCGCTAATGCATTCATATAAATGTAATCCTTACTGTACTACTTTATCTGTATCTGATTTAGAACAATCAGAAATCTGTGAGAAACATATCGACCCAAAGAAAAAAAATCTGAAGTCGTTCAACCCCTAGTGACTGCCATAAAAATTCTTAGGACCTCCGGATGCAGCAGCAGTGGATGAAACAAAAAGAAATCACAAAGATCCATCCAAATCAGGGACGTAGTTGCCTAGTTTATTTAAATCGCGACTTCTGCGCTTTTATAAGCACTAACTTCACATCCGAAGCGAACGGACCATGTATCAGCACAATATGACTGAAGCGCAGTTCTTTTAATTGTGCACGAGCCGGCGCGAATCAACAATGCACTCGAAAAGTGTTATAAGATTAGCACACACAATTCCTATCGCGAAGCTGATGGTAAAATGTGCGATCTATTTGCATTCTATTGAGAAATTGCCACTTTAAAATACTATGGATAAAGTCGAACATTATCTAAAAAAGGCACATAGACTAAAAAGACTGATGAAAAGAGGAGAAAACAATCTTGCACCAGCACTAACATACATTAAAATATTTTTAAACTACTCATGACCACCTTTACCAGAAGAATTTATCACGTTTTACTGTAGGCTTATTTATTGTGGTACATTTTGTTGAACTTTTTGTAGAATTTATAATGTATAATCTGTTAAGGAAATAGATTTTTCCATATAGATTTATATTACATCTGTGGCATGTTGTAGCTATTGTTTCTAATTGTGCAGGCTGTTGTTTTTTAATCAAAAAAAAAAGTTTTTTAATTTTGACAATAAAAGCTTGAAATTGAATTGAAATTGAAATGCACAGGATAGACAGGATAATGTGGAGACTCTCAATGGGGAATCGGTTCAACACTGCAGCTGGAATTGCTCACCAGTTCAGCGCTGAACAGTGTAAGGATCTGTCTCGGCACGTTTAAGAAAAGTCGGACTGAAAGCGCACTCTGCAGTGACCAAGAATCTCATCAGCAGAAAGAATCAAAAGGCTAGACTAACCTTTGCTGAGGAGCATGATGTGTGGAGAAAGGAGAACTGGTCCAAAGTTCACTTTAGTGATGAGAGCAAGTTTAATTTATTTGGTTCAGATGGGAAAAATTATGTTTGGTGTCAAATTGGGGAAATATTGAACCCTGAGTGCGTAAAGTAGTCAGTGAAAGGTGGAGGAGGATGTGTCATGGTTTGGGGGGTTGTTTTCTACAGCAGGAGTTGAACCTCTTGGAAGGGTAAATGCAAACATGTGGTTCCTTTCCTGCAAGCATCTCCCAATCAGCCTGCAATTTTCATGCAAGTCAATGTAGTAACTTTCACCTTCAAGGCTCCTCTGTTGGCTTGTTCCAAACCCAGGACCTTCTTGATGCTCAGGAGAACATCGCTCGCCAGTGCTTCGTGTTCAAGACTGTGAAACGGATCCAACTCTTTTCTTCCCACTGCAGCGTGGCCCAGATCAACAAGTGGGAGACGTCGCTGCTCAGACTCAGCACATGACTAGGTAGAATGCAAGTATCACTCTTTCCAAACCTAATCTCTCTATTTATTTGTTGAATATATAATAAGGTGAACCTTATTACTTCCAGGAAACAGTTTATCTTTCCATAAGATAACATCCATAGTAACATCCAACTTAGTCACTTGCATCTATCAATCTTTTGCACATTATCCATTCATTGTACCCATTTAGTAGTTGTTAGTTACTCTTGTATATCCTTTTGTTAATAAAACCCCTTTTATTACACTTGTGTCTTCTTTGTGTTGATAATACAGTAAGAGGCTCTACAAGTTAACAATATCTCACAAATCCTTCAGATTGGTCAGACTATAACTTCCTATCATTTATGTAATTCTTATTTATTCAACAATCTTCCATGATTGTTCTTTATTGTCAAGGAAAATTCCTTGGCTGGATCCCCGTAAAATAGTATGACCAAAACTTAATATTAATATTTAAGCCCAAAGCCATTACACTGGTGGAGCTACTTAGATCTAAAACCACTACATTTAGTGGCGGCCCGTGTGAGGCATTGAAATCACTACATATGTTATAAAATACATTCATGAAAACCAAATTGTGTACAAATAAATATATTTATATATACATTTTATAAAATTTCTTTGAAATTAAAATAATAAAAAAAATTAAAATAAAATGAAAGATTAAATGTATTATGCAGGCTTTGTAGAATATAGTGCACATAAACTTTATGGTGGTGTTTATAATGTTTTTATGTCTTTTGTGGGACTTAACAATAACACAGAATAATATGTCCAATATTGGATTTGGATCAGTCCTGTCTGACATATCCCCGATCCGGCAAAGAATGGCAGTATAAAAGCCAATACCGATATTGAGTATTGGATCAGCGCATCTCTAGTTTGGACTTAATGCATTCAGAACATTGCCAAAATGTACTCTGGTAGTGGTTTGTTATGTGAATAATGCATCAGTAGTGTCACTTTTCTAACTGTGTCTGTACTATGCAAATACTGTATGTTCCCAAGAGGAAAGAAGGGTTGACCACACCATGTTCCCCTTCTCTGATGCCAACAGCCAATCACAGCACTAGAATGGAGAAGCGCCAAATTGCAATCTCCTCCTCATTGGAAAGGGACAAATGTACCCTTACAACAGCCACCCCTTGTTCTGAGTCTCTGGCCTGTTAAGGTGAGAGAGTAACAGATTACCAATGTTTTGAGTCTCCATCCTAGAGAGACTTTAACATA